GATTTATGGTATGTCTTTTGCCGCAGAGATCCATTAATATTTAAAGGCTTTTGGGGGACTGGGGTAGGGGTTTGTAGTGATAAGGTAGTCATGCTTGATGACTTCCTCATTTGGGGTTGAGGAATATCCTCCCGTAAGGAGGGCGGTATTTCCGGCTGAGTCGTGTAGGCAGTTGTTTCAGGGCTCAGGCGTGAAAGGTTAGGGCGCTTAGGTGGTGGAGGTCTGGGTGAACTCAAACAAGTTACATCGAGGTCTACATTTAGAGTCTGAGGCCCACGGGGGGGTGCCTGTGGGCTAGCTCTGGGGGAATTAGAAGTGGATAAAACAGGGGGTCTGTGCGGCTGCTGCTTTAGTATAGTCATTTTCCGTGTAGCCCTTTGGAGAGGGGTATTATCAGGGTAAACTTTTATGTTTTTGAACGAGGTATTTTTCGCAATCTCGTTTCGTTTTGCTATAAACTCCTTTGCCAAGATGTCATTTGGAAATTGGAAAAGAAGNTAAAACAGGGGGTCTGTATTGTACAGAACCGTTCTGAGTCCCGTTTGCGGGACTGGACATTCGCGCATTTGACCAAACGGATAAATTGACTGAGGACACAGTTGTGGTTGAAGGTGTCACAGGACTCATTGATCAGCCGGCGCATAAACTTTTTCCTGTAAAACGTTGTCCGTTATCTACTGTCCAAGTTCTAGCCAGTTCTCATTCGCTGATGCACAGTACTGGCAGAATTACTGGTGATCCGATGTAGAAAGCTATGCTTGCGGCAAGTGGTTGGGTGTTGAATGCGGATAATAACGTTTTTGGCTGCACCACACCCCATGGCGCACCTCAGCGAATTTGCCAGCGTTTCCGATTTAGCAGTATCTTGCGACGTATGTCTGTTGTGGTCATTCATCACCTTCCTTCTGGTGTCGAACCAACTTACTTAGTTTGCACCAAAGGTTCACCAGAGGTCATCTTACCCATGCTTTGGGATTCACCACCGGACTACGATGAGGCATATCTGACAATGACTAGACGCGGGGCTCGTGTTTTGGCTTACGTTAAAACGTTTGGGTTTTGTGACTCTGATGTGTGGTGACGGGACCAACAATGTGGGTGCCTTGAAGCAGGCTCATGTTAGTGTTGCGTTGTTAAATGAAGCTGGATCCACAAAATCAGATAGTACACAAACTGTAATTAAAAACTCTGGGACCGCTAGCTCAGTCGACTGTCGATTGCATTCCAATCACACTTGCTCTACCCGAGAGGATGAACGCCAGTCTGCGCAAACGCGACTTGCCTCTCAACTGGCTGCTATTGAGGCTGAGCAAGATCCGTCACATGTGCGTCTTGGTGATGCGATTATTGCTGCTCTGTTCACCGCGAAAATGTTTTCATCATCAAGAGTGTCAAATTATCAAACAAGGTCGATGTACGTTGGTCATCAAACTTCAAATGTTCAAAATTCTGGCCATCAACGCTTTGGTTTCCGTGTTCAGTTTTTCTGTTCTGTTTCTGTAAAGATTCAAAACATTCGATGCAAAAGCTTCAATACAGACCATTCCTCTTTCCGCCTCGTTTCTGTTCATTTCACGATCCAAGCCTTTGAAGACGTTGTCTCACACACCCCCATTCTCAACATATTCAATCTGTACACATTGTTGACGGTGACATTACAGTTCTTGGTCCACATTTCTGTCCTGTGTACTCTTACACAAGAAGCTGGAGCTCGTATGCCTATCAATGGAGATGACTTCGCGGATGTTCACGCGGAATTCGAACCCTCTATACTGAACACGGTGGGCTATCTGATTTCTACTAGTATACAGATTGCCACCATCGCGGTCAACCACAAAGGTCATTCTTTCATCTGTTGGAGAACAAAAGAATTGTTGTCTCTCGGAGTTGCAATAGGTGGTGTATTCCTCCTTGCTCTGGGCATGTTTGCTGAACCTCGTCGATTGATGCTATTAGATCTACAGCTTCAAAAAGTGTTCCTCCAGGCAGGCGCATTTGATTTTATCGCAACCTGGATGGTGGATTGCGTACTGGTCTTCATATTTGGGCATGTGCGTGTGAAATCTTCATAAGCATTCATTGTACGTCAACCAATTCACACTTGAGTGACGCGTAGCCGAACCGATACGAATCCCGAAGGAAAACCACAATTGATCCGCAATGTTCTACGGTACTGAATTAACGAAATCACTACAAATGTACAATAAAGCAAACCTCAAATATGCGGCCAAAAGCACTCAAACGAGCGAGCCAAATAAGATGTCCAGAGAGAGGCAAACAGTCGCTCCCGTTCTCAAACCACGCCACAAATTCAAATGTGCCGGGTATCGAATTAACAGATAAATAATGATGTATGGTGTTTGTGATTGACGGGCATAGAGTTAACAGATAAATAATGATGTGTGGTGTTCATGATCGTGAAATGTCAATATAAGAGCAAACACATACAGATAAAGTTATTGCACCATAAATCATTATGGGTTCGGAAGGATTTTCATAAATTCAGCATGAAATACACAGAGTTATTTCACCATAAATCATTATGGGTTCGGAAGGATTTTCAAAAATTCAGCATAAAATACATTCGTGCCCCGATTTCCCTAATCTTTTAGTACTATTCTTCCAACTCAATATTCTATGGCTAGACCCTCGTGTTCTTACGAACCCCTTATTTATTTTATGCGTAAACTCTTTATATTATATGTTCCCGCACAGTTCTCTAGCTGTGAATTTCCTCAGGCACAGAATGTTGTTTCTTCCTTCCACCTATCTAATTCCCTTTTCTAAAAAACATTCATTTTCTGGCCTTGATGTAACTTTGTTCATTTGAATCGTCTTTTGCTCGTTCGGCAGTCTGCTTCCTACAGCACTTTTTGGGTGAAGTCTTTCCGTGATTCGAGTTGGACTGTATCATCATCACACCCTATGCCGTTCAATGGGATTCTCATAAGTGACTACATGACCCTCGGATACTGTTCAACAAGTTTATAGCTCATTTGTGGTATCGGTTTCACAACATTCCCACCGCTATGGCCCCCTGTCCCGACGCGTGCCTCTGACCAATTGTTGAGTCGGTCCAGTAGAATATAGGCCCTTTTGAAATCTCCAACTCCCGGCTTGTGGTATCACATAACTTAATCGCTCTAACGGCATCCGCCAGCACTAGTCTAGGTTTGGTAAGTGCCCCAAGTAGAGCCACGCGGAATTCAGCCATAACCAGATTACATATAATATTACTATTTATGTCGTCTCTCAAGCAGTCTATGTCCCGTAAGTTGATTCAGACTCGTCACTGAAAATGTACAGTTGGGCTGACTCACGGGCTCCTTGGTTTTCACTCCCCATATACATCGGTACCTTTAATTCCTTTAGGCTTTTAACTTCTTTAACCCTAGATTCCCAAGTGCGCCAGTCATTCGCACGTACTAGTTCATCCCATTTGCGATGAAGTGCTTGTAACAATACTCTGTCCGTTAGAGGTATTGGAGTAACGAGATCAAGAGGGTCATGCAGATATATACGATAGCAGTCATCTTTTATTGACCGCTAAATAAAATATTTTCTGTTAAATAAATTTGGATTTCTCATAAACCTGCGTTTCAAGCATTCTAACCTCCGAAAAACTAGCTTGTGGTTGTTCGGCAGGGCTCTGGTTTGGTTTTTCACGTTAATCCGATGCTAAATCGTTTCCTGTTATGGTTTATCGATTCCTCTGCCATTTGCAAAGCTCGACGATCCTCTTTGAAGTGATTTGTATGCACGCCTTTAAACTCCTTGTTATATAAATCCTCCAACATGATGATAGTTTTATTCTCTCGGGTAACGGTAAACATTTATTGGCAAGCTGTTGCGCTCAAGGACGGTCCCTTAGTCAACCATCCCAACGCAGTTTCGATCGCCAAGAGCTCGTTTGGCTCACCGTATCGACCATTACTCACCCAATAAGCTTGGAGGACATTAAATGCAATGATCAACTGACCCTAGGATTAGTCAAATGCTTCCTTTCTATATCGTTTAGGTGGGTTAATCGAGCCATTTGTTTCTTTGCCGGTACCGGAGCTGTTGGCAATAACAGATCGTCCATGATGTATACAGTGCTTACCTTAATGCATTTATGATCCGTAAGGGAGCTAACTTCCAGTGATACCCTTTGATTAACTATATGTCGCTCTCCAGCCACGGTGTGAACGTTCATTCGCACTCCCGGGCCACCTAACCCCAACAGTTCGGAAACCTCCTGACTAACTATTGTGGTATCCAAACCGCTATCTAGCAAGGCATATACTTTCAACGATTTGTCGCCGGGCATTATTTTTACCAGGTCTATTTCGAGGTAATTAATATCATTCGGTGCAGAAAAGGTATCCCCCACGATCGCTTGCACATTCTCGGAACATTCTTCTTTGTACCATTGTTGTAAATTTGATCGTGCGCACTCGCATGCTTCACGGGCTTCGTGAAATACACCATTATTATTATTATTATTATTTTACCGTTTTCTTCACATGCCCGCGCCAAGTGTCCATATTTATTTGATTTATAACAAAGCTTTAATTTCTCCACGATTTCCCGTCTCTCCACACTATCGACCTGAGGAATCCTTCACATTTAGTAAGTGGGTGTGGTTTCAGACACAAAGTGCACTGAAAGTTCTGTATTGATACTGATGTTTGTCTAGTCGTATTGACATTCATATGCGTGTTGCGCCGAGGACCTCAAGGGAGATTAGCGTCTGGTGAACGCCTTGTGTCCACTAGCCTTCCAAAGGGCTGCTCTTTATTTTCGACTATGCTNGACTATGCTTCTATCATTTCAATAAAGTCGATAAACCGGTACCGTTCACCATTGGATACGGTCCTATCAGCCACTTCGGTTCACGTACGGTGTGAACCTTTGGACAATCGTGTAAATAATGACTCCAGCGCGCGTATGGAATCCAAATCGGACTCACATCTCTTTTCAGTTAGAACCATGTAGCAGCTTTGCAATTTAATGCTAAGCCTGCTCAGGACTTTTCCTGTTCCACTCAATTCTGCTGTTTTCGCTAGAACGTCCTTTAATACAGCCCTGATTGCTTCGTGCGGTCAATCAAATAAGTTATCGAGTATCTCAATGGCCGTATGATGCCCGTCTTCCTCTGCCATTGGCATTGCCTCTCTAGCTACTCCCTTAAAGTAGTGTTACAGATAATCCAGTTTTCTACCTTCTCCACAGGAGAGTCTAGCAAAGAAGCTGTCGAATGGCCGTTTGAATAGCTAATATTTTGTAGCATTTCCATCGAAAGAAATGGGTTCCAGCCGCGGGAGTTCTAAGCCATGAAGGCTCTCATGCCTACGTGTTGGTTGTTTTCTTACGTCTCTACTAAACTTCACTTTAGGCACACTCTCTTGTAGATAGGTTTTTACTCTTTCCCTGTATCTTGTTTTGGAACACCGGGATGCTGCGTCTTCTGCATCACTGTTGCACTGGATCTCTGCAAGAGCCAGCGTAGCTTCGGTCTCGCACAGTTGTTTTCGGAAGACTGCTTTCTTTAACTCACATTCTATTTATTATTATTTTAGTTGAACGAGGGGAGCTGTAGATGTAAGCGATAACATTTGATGATGATTATCGGGAAACAGACGAAGAATACTTACTTTGGTTTTGGGTAGATTTAAGGTGAAAATTAAATGTAGAATTTTTTTCTTATTGGGGATAACACATGTTGAAGCCAGCGTCCAACGATAATGCAATAAATAAAGTCAAGTAAGTTTGAAGGGGCGGATACAGTTTTTCAACAAATATCTGGGGCAATAAACTCGTCTGTAATGAGTTTGGCTGGAGACGATAAGAGAAATAAATAGTCAAATTCTTTCATTATCTGTATAAGATTAGCGGTGGTTGAGTCAAGCGACCGGTATATGCAGTCAATGTAGAGAGAGATTAAGGAACATAATCATTAACCAGAGGAAGTCAGGGACGGCATCAAGTAATGGGTGGGAGAGTGGAGTAATCATTAGGTTGCTTCTAACAAGGAGTAGACAGTCTCCTCCTCGACGGATACGGTCCTTTCTAAATATCTGACAGTCTGTAATTGTGACATGGTCACGCGGGAATAATTCAGTTAATCATGCTTCAGTGACAAGAATGACATCATACTCGGAGGACTGAAAACTGTTACAAGGAGTATGGAATTTATTCAGAAGTGAGCGGGAATTTAGTTGTAGGAAGGAGACAGAGACAGATTTATTGAAGGGCAGAACACGCAGATCATAACGTGAAGAAAAGGGAAGGGGAGCGGAAGACTAAGGGCCATGTCAGGAGGAATCTTGGGGCATGGATCACGATCAAGATACACATTAGGTGGGGAGAAAAGAGAATGGGAGACGGAAAGATTCCGAAATAACGGCGGGTTATAATGGGGGGTGGTATTGAGGCAGTCAAAGGTGGCTGAAT